TTATGATTATATAGTCAAAATTTTGTACCAAAATTTATTTACATTAGATCACACAAATCTGTTAACATTTTACACATTTTCTTTTCACCAAATTACAATATTAACTATGACTGTATTATATAATTTCGGTATTTTGACTTTTTTTTTTTTTTTACATTGTATTATGATTATATAGTCAAAATTTTGTACCAAAATTTACTTACATTAGATCACACAAATCTGTTAAAATTTTACGCATTTTCTTTTCACCAAATTACAATATTAACTTTGACTGTATTATATAATTTCGGTATTTTGACTTTTTTTTTTTTTTTTTTTTACATTGAAATTACTCCAATATTGGCAATATGATGATATAATTTGTGCATTATTTTATGCAAATTTAAAAAAGAGTTTGTAAAAAGTGTGGAGAGACCTCATAATATCATTACTCAATAAAATTAACTCAATCATACCCATCTAATCTTGTTGTCCAATTCAAACTATAATATATATATTTCCAAAGTTTAAGCAAATATATATACTTGCCATATATATTATGTCTCCGTTAAGATTCAAACACTCAACTTCGATCTTACACTAAAGAAGAACATTAAAAAGGAATCCAAAATATTAATTACATTACTATTAGATTAAAAAAAAAAAACTCATATATATAGATATATATATATATTTTCTTGGAGTTTAGCTTGAATACAAAACGTCCTTTGTCAAATTGAAGCATAATTTCGCCAATAAAAATATATACACCATTTTATTAAAGAGGACGTGTACATAAATTATCGATTTACATCATTATGATTCATCCTGACCAGCCATAACGGAAGCATTGTCCATTAAACATGGTAAGATGGAAAAAACATGGAAATGCACAAGGGTCCCATTACTTGTAGTGAACAATTCGAACAAAAAGTCCATAAATTAATATTATCTAAAAAAGAAAAAATAAAGAACATTTCAAAAGCCCTACTTAAGTCCGCGCTTAGGGGAGGTGATCACGTTTTGCCTAGTGAAGTTGACTTGTGTAACTCAGAATTTGCTCCAGCTGGTCGGTGTAGATATATATATATATTTAACATCATCTTTATCTATGTTTGTATTTATTTACGAAATGCTAAATTTTACTTTTGACAAGTTCTTCTCCATTTTTAATCTAATATATTTACTTTCTAGAAGATTTTTTTGAAATAAATTTTACATACCTCCTTTGAAGTTTGTCAATATCCTGCAGAAATCTTTTTTTAATTTATTAATTTCACATACCATCCATGTCGGACGTCCAATTTGGTTACGCATGAAATGTTTGTGTCATTTCAGAGATTAAAAGGGCAAAATTGACATTCTATCTATTTTCTGTTTCTGACATTAGCCGATTCTGTTTGTTTTCATGAAGTACCTTAACGACGGAGGAAATATGTTATGTAAACCACAACCTTATAGAAAGTAAATGCAATTATGAAACTAAGAGAAATTCTAAGTTAAAATAGGGATGATAATTTGTGTTAGTGGGTTATAATCGTGTCGCGTCGACTTAAAAGGTATTTTATTAAATAGGTCGATCCACTCGAACATAATCCGTTTAATATTCGTGTGAGGAAGCCACAACACTAATCCGACCTGTTTATTAAGCGGGTTACATATGAAACATGTTTAATGACATATCTACTAAAACAAAAAAAATTATATTATGCTAATTATTAATAATACTCAATCAAATAATAAATAATAATAAAATATTATATTCATTTCAACCAAATTACTAAATAATTTCTAGTTATTTTGGAACTCAAATATATATTTGTTTATGACGCATATAGTTAAACGAGTATATTCAGGTTATACGGGTTGAATCACCTCAATTCAAATACGACACGATGAATTAAATAAGTTAATCGTGTCGATCCATTTACAATTCAAACCCGTTTAAGATCAATTCAAATTCATTTTACCTTTAATTGTTAGTAAAAAACGACAGAGATACATTAGGGGTAAATATACTAAATGGGCAATTGATTGAAACCATATGTACTATGTATGAATTTGTAATCATTTATCCTTGAGAAAATATTGATAACAGATTTGATGGTACATTATATGTCAAAGGAAAGCATTTGATAGTCAAAAGTATTGAGACTGCTCTTTTTCGGTTGAAGATGGCGTTAGAAAAGTCACAGAGTAAGAAAAGTGGATGTAGAAATTTTTTTACCTTTTGAGTTTCACAGAGAATAATGATATGTCATCAAAGTTATACATATTACTATATATCATTTTTCATGGATGATGATAAGCTATAGTGCCTTGTATAAAAAGCTCTGAATAGGTCATCAAGTTAAAAATTTGAGACATTTTTCATGGATGATAATTGTAAAAGTTCTAGAGCCGTGTATTAAAAAAGCTTTGAATAGGTATTGAGCTTGAAATAAGAATTGGTATTTGATTGAGTCCAATACAAGACTTTTTTTTGTGTTAAAAATGAAATCAATTGACTACATTCTACAGTAGTTTTCTCAGATATGAACACTCCTTTTCATATACGCGATGCCAGACAGACATTCACGCAAGTCAATTAGGTTAGGCAGCTGTATAGAAATTGAAAAGGTCATAGAAATGGAAAAACCAAGGGAAGGTTAAAGATAGCGGAGTCGAACAATAATTCTTTTAAATGGGTGTTGCTAAGATTTAAATTTTATTATTTTTGTACTCCCACTTTGTATAATTAAAAAAAAAAAAAGTTTAATTAAATTGTTTTTTTTTTTTTTTTTTTTTTTTTTTTTCTCAAATAAAACTCAAGTTAGAAAGATACATTTTCTCTTAACCTTTCCTTCTTTTTTCTTTTTTTCTTTCTTTCTTTTGTTTTTACATAATATAATTGTACAGGACCAATAGTTTTCTTCATATTTTTTGGCTATTGGAAAACAGAAGAATGATAGCAAATTTGGCTTATATAAAAATTGCTTCCAAACAAATAATAATAAATTGATCCTTACCCATAGTTGTTGGATTGAAAACACTGACCAAATTTGAGCAATTACCTAAGAGCCTGTTTGGTTTTTGTCAGCTATTGTAGTTGTGAATAGTAAAACCACGCTCTTGATAAAAAATATTTTGTTTTGTACAATACCAAAAGTGTTTCGTGATTGGATTTTATACCCTTAATTTTTTTTTTTCCCTCCATTATTCTTCTTTTTTATCTTTGATTCTATTAGTGTTCTCAATATAACGGCCACTCTAACTACTAGGGTTGACGCTCTTATTACTAGGGTACGTGTTGTCTGGCAATTTCGAAGAGTTCATGTGTGATAGACAAACCATCAATGTCATTCTTCACAAATTCAACAGATGTCGCAATATAGACAAAAGCCATAACCTATTCTTGATCTTCCTCAACGTGAAGATTGTGTTCTCCTAATTGGCGTCAATCTTAATTGCCCTTTACACCGTGACAATGACGATGATCAGAAAGAAGAAGCAGATTCAACGAGAGTAGCATTAACAAACAAAGATGAAAATGCACTAGCCAAAGGCGTTCCAAACAGCAATGAACCAAGAGTTGTGGTAGTTGATGCAGAAGACCCAAATCTGAATGAAGTTGATGGAGCCCATGCCACCGACGATGACCATGACAGAAGGTTGATGGCATAATTGGGTTGATTCGCGCACTCAATAAAGTTATGTTAAGAATCGCTTCCCTACTTCTGAAGATTGTGGAGTCCACAAGCCGTGATTCAAGGGGCGTGGAAAGTTAGGAAATCAATACCAATTAGTATTACAAGTATATTAGGTTATTATTATTTAGTTAATTTATTTCTTTATTTATTTCCTTATTTTTCTTATATAAGCATGCTATTGTAATAAAATTAGGGTACTGAATAAAGAAAGGTTTAGAACTTTGGAATCTCCAATTCAAAATATTATTGGTGGGTGATCTCCAATCAACAGATCACTTTAGGTTTAGAATCCTAACATCATTAATTTGGTATTTTTACACATTTTCGTACTGTAGCAAAGAACAATACCCAATTTTTTTAATAATAAAAAATAAAAAATAAAAACTCTAAAATAACCTTTTTAACCTAGCCATTATATTTTTAAAACTTACAAAACATTTTTACCACATGTTTTTACTTCCAAAAATTTTGCTAACAAACATGTTTTCCATTACTATTCAAAACACCATACAACAAAATACTTATTTTGTTTCAAGTTAAAACAAAAACAAAATGCGAACCAAACATGTCCTACGTAACAATGATATGAAAATTCAAAATTTTGGCAACTGCAAAAAATCAGAAAAAAGAACAGTAACTGCAAAAATTGACTATTCATGTAAAAAAAAAATTCCTCTAGAATTTGGTATTGTCTCAATGCTCCAAAACTAAAAACTAGATTGTTTTCCATTTCACATGAACCCTAGATGCAACATTGCAACCAAACAAGTGTACCCAAGAGTAGAATGCCTTCTAACGGTTAATCACTTGCTTCCCAATTCAACAATAATTTCTCTATGATAACCAAAGAGTGTTAAAATGCTGGGGGCTGAAAGGTTGTACACTCAGAATTTCAATAATATCATTTGATAATTATAAATGTTGCACCAACATATAGTTTAATGATACTTTCTTACCTTTCAAAATAAAAAGTCCAAAATATTTGACCAGACACATTCGTATATCGTTAACTATTAACAGTTTAAACTTTAGTAACAATTGGGTATTATAATGCACAGTTCTGGTCCACTCATGGTAGGAGAGTCCAGCCAACAGGAAGCTTACTCATAGTTTCACAAAGAAATGCCATACCTCCAAACTCATAAATACTCACACACACACACACACACACAATCTTTGGATGCACATTCATTATACAGATATATGAAATAATCAGTGTTCTGCTATCTTCTCCGATGAAGCAAAAAACCTGCGAAGACACTGGGATCAAGCACAAACAGTTAGTGTACGTACTGCTCCAATTTTCTTCCAGATTTTAACAGAAATCCTATCTAGAACACAAAAACATTCTCTCTTTTCTTTTTCTTTTTGGAAGAAGAATATCAGAACATCTGTTGAATTATATATTACTTCCCACTGTACAGAAGGGGTAAAAAAAAAAATGATGAAGGAATAAATTACAGCGGTTGCAACATAACACAGCCATTCTATACAGAGCATAACAACCAGCACTTGGGGAATCGACATTCGTGATATTAGAAATTAATGTGACCATGGTTGCACCTATTGCCATCTTCTCTTAAATGTCAATTGGAAACTGTGTAAGCAAGATGAATCCGGGAGAACTTACCTCATGCTTCTACAAAAGCAAGAAAATCGACTTTTCTTTGATTCCCTCTTATTGTACTAAGCCTTCTGAAACCGAATCTAGGTTGGCGTCGTATATTTATCAGTGTTCCAGAAGCTTAAGCCCAACATCCATCAAACTGAAGCAGAAATGTTCTGCAAATCTCGATCTCAGGAATAAATGTTTCTGTCCTTTTGTGAAGGTGATGATGGTGGTGGGGGAGAGCGGGGCGCACCCCTACGGGATTCTGAGCTCTCTGTTTTAGAGGATAAATACTCAAGTGCCACAACAATGTCACCAATGAGGGGGCGGAAATTTGCTTGCTCCTGAAGACACATTGCTGTAATGGCAACTGCATGGTGCAAAGAGCGGAGTGGGAAACGTCCTTTCAGCACTGGATCAACCAACTGGACAAACTTCTTTCGGTCACTTAGAAAAGGGCGAGACTGCAATGAAGATAAAGAAGAGGAAACAAAAAAAGTTTTAGCCAAATTTAGAAGCAGACTTTTATCATGCCTAGATGCCAAAAAGTTGCTCTTTGATGGAAGTAATGGTTTAGAAGTGCATCACTTTACTAGGGAAGAAAATAATCTCGTGTATAAGAAAGTCCAAGAATTAACTAAAAGAATCCAAGAAATAGTAAGAGCTGCCAGATCAAATCTATTTAACCATTGAAATTCTATATAAACCAAAGAGTAGATCAAAAGAGTACTAATGCCAGTAGGAATACATTCAATTTCCATGATAATAAAAATGCAGGTCAAAAGCATCCAAGAAATAGTAGGAGCTACCAGTTCAAATCTATCTAACCAATGAAATTCTTTTACATCAAAGAAGAGTAGATCAAAAGAGTTTGAATGCCTGTAAGAATATATTCAATTTCCATGAGAACATAAATCCAGGTAAGAAGGGGACCAGTACTACTTACAAATACAGCTATTAAATTCAAATATGGACAAGAATCTGGCCAAACCTTCATTGTTTTTAGAAAATATATCAAAGCACAATATAACTCACCCAAGCAACCAAGTTTTGCTCTCCCGGCTTTTTAGTACCGTCAATTGCCTTGCGCCCGGTGATAAGCTCCAACAGAACCACACCAAAGCTATAGATGTCAGATTTTAGATTTAGTTTGCCAGTCATGGCATACTCTGGGGCGCAGTACCCATACGTTCCCATTACTCTTGTCGAAACATGAGTATTGTCACCAACAGGTCCCAGTTTAGCAAGTCCAAAATCTGAGAGCTTGGCATTGAAGTCATTGTCCAACAATATATTTGCCGATTTCAAGTCACGGTAAATGACAGGTGGATTTGCTTTACAATGGAGATACTCAAGGCCTCGAGCTGCACCAACAGCAATCTTTATTCGTGTACTCCAACCCAATGGCTCTTTATCAGTGTCAATATCTGAGAACAGGGAGTACCATATGTGTCCAGTTAACAATGATGAGTGACAAAATTGTTGCCAAAAAAAAAAAAGGAATTTTTTTTTGCTTAATAGCAAAACAGAATCCGAGTGGATAACAGTACATAATGCATGTAAACATATTCCTTTTCCCTTTTTCTCTCAATGGGTTCTTAAAGCAAGCCTCAGCCCCAAAGTTACCACTCAAAATAACACTTATATTTAGTTTCCATGAAGAACTATTTGAACCAATCCTTCAAAAAAATTTCTTTTAAAAGAAAAGGAAAGAAACAAGTGATTAATGTCACAGGATTATAAATGTATTTAGCAGTATACCTACAATTGCACTACGTCAGCACTCCAACAGCAAACAAATGGCTCTTGGAATAATTGAAGAAAATTAAAAAGCCATCCAAACATCTTCATTGTCATTGTATTTTCTATCCTAATAAATAAGCTATATTGGAGGCAAATTTCCCCCGTGTTTCAAATATAGGAAGTTACAGTACAATATATTGCTCAATTTACGATCCTTTAAAACCAATGAACCACAAAGTCAATTCATAAAAATTGTCAAAAAAGTTTCACATCCGCTGAAACAATCCAGATATTGAAAGCCTATGGTTTCACATAATTTGCAAGATTCAATTATAACGGGAGAACAACGTTCTTATTGTAATGAAGAGAACAATATGCTAAAAGAGTTGCTATTACATCGATGATGGGATTTTAAGTAACATGACTATTATTTACAACAATTTGATTATTTTGTTGGATTGCCTACACTTTATACCCTTAGTGCTATGGGATGTTGCGGATAGAATGATTACATGCTTACCACTGAAAGCAAGGAGCATTTCCGAGGAAGATTTTTAAAGCAGGAAAATAAGTAAATTATTTTAATTATAAAATTTCATGTGCAACTTCTAATCAATCTGCATGCTTTTGTCTCTTAAAGTACCTTGCAGATATTTTATTTGGTTACCATTAATTTGTTTGCAGAATTTTTTTTTTTTTTTTATAGTTATTTACTGTTTTTCATGTTTAAAATGCTTTAATTGTAGTGCACTTTCGTTAGTCTTTTGTTCACGAATCAGTCGATCTGAAGTTCCTTTTTTTGATTGAAAAAAAATCTAGTCATGTTCGGATTCAATCAGTTTTTAATTCTGCTTCAGGTTCGTTAATATTATGTTGTCCTTTTGGTCAGAAGGAAAGTAGAGGATTTTTCAGGGAAAATTTTGAATTCGATTTTCATATAGTGCTCATTATATTTGCCTTTTTCTTCCTAGAAGTTATTCATGGAATTTAATGATTTTGTTTAAACTGGTTTCCTAACTAAGTGGGAATTGTGAAACTGTCTGGAATTTGATGATTTTGTTCAGAATCAATAAAGGATAAATTTGGTATTTATTAAATTTAATCCGTCATGGGCCAGGCACATATTTTTTTAAGGGTAACAGTCAAAAAGTCTTTCTTTACAATATTTTTAAATTCTTGAAGGAGTTATATATCCAAAAAAAAATATTTTCAGATCGACTGATTCATGAACAAAACAACGAAAGTGCAGTACAATTAAAGCATTTTAAACATGAAAAACAGTAAATAACTATAAAAATTAAAAAAAAAATCTGCAAACAAATTAATGGTAACCAAATTATTATTATTATTATTTTTTAGTTCATATAATCTTATATCTGCACAGACTACCAGAAGACATTGCACCTTGTTACAATGGAATTCAGCTCTCATACATGATATTAAGAAGAAAATGGAAAAACTTACTTGTGATGCATGTAACTTCTATTTTATTGTTGGCACACACATTATGGCTTCAACAGACTATGGAAAGAATATCACTTGCTGAAAGCGCTGCTTGACAATCAGCGTTACAACTCTTGTATATGCACTTAAACCACAGTATCTCAAAATTGCAAAAGTTGCACAAGATGTTGTGCAACCAATAGCTGTTATGGGTGATTTGCTGGGCAGGGTGAATGCACAGATCATGGAAGTTGTTTAAAATGCAAAGATGACCCTGGCTTATATGGGCATGATGCAAGCAGCCACCCAGGTTTATAGATGCCTGGACAGCCACCTTGGCAACAGCAACTAGGTGATGTCTGGGTGGCCATCAGGGTTACTGGACAGTATCAATGTGTTTCTTCCCTAAGTTATTACTTAACAAATTATATATCAAATAAGTAGTTACAATTTGTAATGATATCTTTTTTTTTTATTTTTTATTATTATTATTTTTTTATTACATTAGAAATAAGAGGCCTAGAAACGCCCATACTGAACCTCAAATGATATCCAGCGTAAAATTGAAGTCAAACAGACTGATGCCAAGAATCAAACATGAAAGCAATTAATCAAATGCATTACGCAGTATGGAGACCTCTAGACGACTAAGGCATCTTGAAACTTCAAAGGAGAACTTTATTTTTAAAAGAAAAATAGAGAACAGATGTGATTTAAAAATGAAATCAGTTGACTTTCATAAGATGACAATAGATATATGATTCCATTTGTCATTTAAAATCTAAATACTAATACGTATATTCAGAGAAACATGAATGGCAAATTGATAGAAAAATGAATGCATTGGAATTCAAGCAAATGATAGATATATGATTGCATCTAATGGTCAATAATTACCAAAAAGGTGATCTTCTAAGCTACCCCTCGGCATATACTCGTAAACCAATAGTCTCTGATCTCCATCAGTGCAATAACCGATCAATGTGACAAGGTTGGGATGGTGCAGCAAACTTAACATAAGAACCTCTACAATAAATTCCTGGTTTCCTTGAAGGCCTTCGAGATTAAGTTGTTTGATTGCAACAATCTGCTCATAAAAATCAAATGATCAGTAACTAGGAAGGATCAACAAAGAACATGTAGTCCAAGCATGCCCAATAAAAGAAATTGCTATTTTATGATAAGCTAGCAAGATAACATGCACAATCTATTGCTTTTAAGTTCCAAATGTATTACAAAATTAAAATTTAGAGATTCCAGAAAGGTTGGAATTGCATAACTTGCCTCCCCTGATTCCAAGCGACCCTTGTAAACCCTTCCAAAACCCCCTTCTCCAATCAAATTAACTTCCCTAAAGTTTTTTGTTGCGGTTGCAAGGTCACGGAATGTGAAGCTGCGTGCCACATTGCCCTTTACACCAGAGACTACCTTCCCTTTCCCATTCGAAGATCCAATTCGGCTCCCATTTTCTGCTCGTTAATACATAATTCAACATGAAATTGAAAACCCAAAAAAGAAAAGTAAAAAAATAAATAAATCATCAAATTTAAGAGCTGTAGCAGAGCATCTATTTCATGCATCAGAATTTAATGAACTTACAACTGCAAATCCAACCAATTAATTAACCAAAAAAAAAAGAGAGCAAATTGTACCCAAATGCTAAATGGTTATATATAAGAAAATGGGTTTGAAGATAGACAAACCTGAAGACTGAACTGATTGATCCGCCATATCTTCGTCATAATTCCTAACATCCTTTCGGATGCAAGGAAAGCAACTCATCTGTATATGCACAGAAAACTCGCAAAGGCAGAGAGTAACACAGAGGAAGAAATTTAGAGAGATAGAGAGAGAGAAACCATAGACCGCGTTAATTTCTGCAAATCAATTTCATAACAATCTGATATTTTACAAAAGAACACATCAAATTGAAACACAAACCCTAATGTGACATGAAAGCTCAGCTCTCTCCTCTCCAAAACGGAGAGTTCGAGAAACACAAACCCTAGGGAAATCTAACTCTAACATAGATCTATATGAACAACAAATTGCCCCAAAATATAAAAACAAAAAAACAAAAAAAGCCAACCAAATAGAAACAATAGTACAATAAATTTATCAATACGTATATAAACCCAAACCCAGATATAAATTTGAAAGAATTAAAAAGAAACAAGCCCTAAATCGCTGGATTTTTATGATGGGGTTGGGTTTGGTTAGCGGTGTACATTGGAGGAGAAAACAACAAATTACGGGGTTTCAGCTAAATTTAGCTGAACTTTTTAGCCCTCCGCTTATGGCGCGGGTAACACACTATAATATTTTTATTTTTTATTTTTCTCACTCTAGAAAACTCATCCTCACTTTCTCTCTCTAGAAATGGCGTTTGTGATGTGGGCCTGGCTGTGTGCTTGCTGTAATTGTTTCTCTCTCTAGAAATGGCATTTGCATTAAAGGGACGTTTTGATGATTGTGCAGGTCGCTCTCCGTCCCTCTAACTCTCCCCCACAACCATTTGCTTTCTCTCCTCTCTCTGCATTTAAACGTTTCGGTCAGGGGGTGGTGGTTTGAAATTACTTTGTTGCCCCTCGGATTGATTAGACGGTGTTTGTCGTGGACAGTTTCGACTTTTCCAACTCCTTCACTTCCACCGACATGAATGGCGACAAATGTAACGTTAAATTTGCTCCGGTCGGCGAAACGCGTTCACGTGACATCCAAATTTTTTTGCATTATTTTACGTTAGTGTTACGTATGGTCTGGATTAGAATTTTAAATATGAATTAAATACGATTTAGACTTTAGAATATAGATACGAATATTCTTTACAAAATCTGATTGGTCATAGATCTATGTAAGCAAAAAAAAAAGAAAAAGGAATGGAGTTAAACTAGATATTCTATTTAATGTTTGGTTTGGATATTGGATCTGAATTTTATATTCTTTATTTATTTTATAGGTTTTAATTCTGAATAGACTCAAATAATAAAATATGAATATCGAATTGAATTTACTTCGACCTAATACATATCTATTATATCTTCTTATTAATTATTGAATTAAAAAAATTACTAAATTTTTTTTTTTTCACTTTTACAGATTTTAAAAATTATTTCAACCATCCCTGAGGGAACTCTCATGTTGTTAGTCATTATATCACTATGTGATTGAAAAAAAGAAATAAAAAAAAATTGATTCTTAAACCAATTTTTCAAATTTATTTGTCAGATTTAAAGGTTCTATTTATTTAATGTGGTGAATGAAACCCACATAATTGGGCTCATTGACGACAAATCTAAAAAAAAAATAATATAAGATATGACTACGGCCTGGATATATAAAAATAATAATAATGTAATAAATATTATTATTATTATTATTATTATTATTTTATATATTTATATATATATATATAATGTATTTTTGCCATTTTATTCATATAATCATAAAATATTCAGTAAAATTCTATATTATTTTTTAATTAACTCATAATATATTTTAAATTGTATTGAATTCTATTATTATTTTTAAAATAATTACAAAATCACTCCGCTTTATTCCAGAAGTGTACAAAACATATTATTGTTTTGTCCCGGCCGTATCCGACTAGAAAATAAAATATTGATTTTTCAAAATACTTCTAATCATATTTGACACTTATCCGAGCTAAATCCACGTATCCGGAAAAATGTTCGAGTATCCGATACCGCCACAGCACCTACAGAGAAGCATCCGTACTCCTTAGACTACATCAAATGAATAGAATAACCTCTCAGATTAAACAAATACTCACTGTATATTCTATTTTAATTGTTCAATTTTATAATATAATTCTTTAAAAAAATATATTATTCTCACTTAATATCACTAAGTTGTCATTTTAAGGACCGTATTTATTTGGTTTGACTTTTTAAATGCAACAACTAATTTGGGACCTCAAAAAATAATAATAATAATAATAATGCAAACCAGTAATATGAGACTCGGCAAATAAGTCAGAATTAGGAGTATCTGTCTAAAACTTTAAATATTATTATTAAGACCAAAAAATAAAAATAAAAATAAAAAATAGTCAATCTGGTGAAAAGACATGTAATGAGAAGTTGTGAAAAGCTGGTTATGTTCTTAAATCTATGAGAAAAGTCAATTGAGTTTTTGGTACTTCACATACGTATGACTTTTAACTGTGCTGAAATGTTGGCAGTTTGAAAATAGGTCTCATGCAAATGACCGACTTTTGGATGGAAACAACTCGTTTGACGGCTACAAAACATGAGACGCTGTCCTGTAGGAGAAAAGGTCGACACACACACACACACACACACACATATATATATATATATATGCATGAAGCAATAGCATTCATACTCAAATCTGAAACAGATTGCCTAGCTTCTGATTTTATTTTATTTTATTTGTCATAAGCTAAATTCAAAATAAATATATTTATTAGAAATATGAATAAATAAAAACAAGATTTATTTCTTAATTTTTTTATTTCAAAATTAGAGGATTACACATGTCAAATGATTACCAAATGTATTCCACTCACTCCATAGAAGAACGACAATCTCGCTTCTAATTTTTCTCTCTATCTCAACTAATTTTTCTAGGGCTATTCTTCTCTGCACAGTCTTTTCTTCAATCACTCAAACAAACAAACAAACAAACGCGTATATACATAACTGGATGCATTTAATACATTCACAGTAAAAACAAAATCTCATTTCTTCATTCATTGTAATCGATTCTTATAATTACTGTACTGCAAAACAAACAAACGTACACCACACATTTATTCCATTTGATTTTAATGCCCTAATACTCTTTTCTTTTTCTAAATTTACCCCCAGAAACATCAATTTAAGAAATAAATTTGAGCCCAACTCTGGACGTTACGTGGCAGATGTGTTTTTTGAAAGGAAAAAAAAAATTCCTTTCAAACCCTTCTTTCTCTTTTCCGGAGAAATATTTACTTACGTATCCATATTTCCATTTTACTAGAGTTGAACACTTGAACCCTTAATCTTTCTATGAGAGAAATGGACGTATCATTAAACGAGGGCCTTGGAGGAATGAAATTGTAAAGTTGTTTCATTATGATCTGAATGTCAAGGATTCACTATCGAAACAGTCTTTCCATATAAAAGTAAGGTAAAACTGTGTATTTAATTATCCCTAAACATTACAATGTCTGTCGCGCACTGAACTAACCCTTTACATATCACTTGAGCTAAGATGTCGTGCCTTTTAAACTCCTTTGAGAACAAATGCCTCACTTACACATGACCGCATTTACCGCAACTCCAAGCCAAAGTCTCATAGCTGACTAGCCAAACTTGAACGGCAAGTAGGGACAAATCTAGAAATTCATATGAGGAGAGGTAAATTTTCATAATTTCAGTGGGAGTAATTTCAAGATTTTATGAGTAAATACAAAAAAAATATAAATTTAGGGGTGTAAAATGAAATAATAAAAAAATTCAGTGGGGCAGGTGCCCCCACTGAGCCTACAGTAGATCCGTGCCTGACAAGGTAGACCTTGAAATTCTATTTTTATTTTTATTTTTTTTCTTTTTCTTTAATAAATTAGGGAGACTCGAACATAGACACATACCAATGAATAATGGTCCGAACCCAAATTCAGACCATCCTAAAACTTGGCATGACTGGTTCATTTGTAGACCTACCTTTCACCTGTTTAGAATTTAGAATGTTGCTGAGATAGATCATGGATCCATGTTTAAGGTCCAATGAATACTTCTGGTCCAATCTGCAATTTATTGGGCCAAATTAGATTAACATGCAATTGGGCCCAACAAATTTTACATGGACTTGGCCCACTAGTTATATTTCCAGCCCACTTGTAAAACTTAGTACCATATAACTTGATTAATATTTTACATGAACTTGGCAATGTTCCTAAAACCCATCATTCTAAACCACAGTAAAGGTCCATTTAAGTCCCTCTTTTAGTCACTCTCAAAACAATGAAATCACCAATTTGTCTTAGATGGGAATTTGTGATCATGCTTTTTGGTTAATTAATTCGAATTTAAATTGTGAACACAAATATAAATTGAATATTTAATTCAATAATCCATCAACAATTGTAAAACAACAATCTACTAGTTAAACAAATTAGATGGGGATCATGATCAATATAACTTGAACAGTGCAATCTGACATAATATAATATCTTACATGCCATACATATATTATCTAATTCTACTATATCCATCTATCCATCGATACTATTTATATAATATCAAAATGTTTTTAACATTACTTTTCATCTCTATGATATCCTTTCTTACTCTATTTTTTAATATAAAAAAAAAGAGTCAAATCACAGCAAACATTATCAAATATGCACATATTGACAGTAGTATAGATAACCATGTTTGCAAGCACCAGCAGATATTATTGTAATGACATTTGTGATGCAAAAGGTCTTGTTAAGATATAAGTGAAAATAATGGGAAGAAAAGAAAGATAAAAGTGAAAATATGGTGGGAAATATTAATAAACTATTGATGAACAAATAATTTCTAAATCGTTAATTTCTAAATAATGAGGTTTGGACAAATTTTATACCCAGACCCAGTAACCTCGAGGAGACAACACTTGCATTTTTAAATATTCCATACTCGGAAGTGATCATCCAACTCTTCAACGTGTTTGTACAATTTGCGATCATCATGGTCAAGAGCGACACAATCCGATTAATACCATTCTGACCCTATCACCTAGAAGAAGAAAGTTGAATCATCAATTCCAACACAATTATGAAATTCTCAACAAAAAAGAAAAAAAGGAATATCAAAAGTGATAAAATGTGAGCAAATGGCATAACTCTCATAGAAGGTTTAAACTAAATTGGTTAAAAGTATAGAAACAAATAAATAACAAAAATTGATGCAATTCAAAGTTACATTGTAAGCCAACACCATGTACAATATCATATTACATTGCTGGTATAATGAACAAGATAAAAATCTGCAGAAAATATATTCAGCCAACAATTCTTCTCTTTCTCCCGAGTGAACTTTATAATATACTAGTAGAATAAAGGTAAAGAAAATTGTAGTAGTAAAAAATAGGCTTACATAGAAATAGGCGCACAAATAAGTGTGATTGTCATGATGTAGAGTCTAGAACATATAGACGGCACAAACTTACTAGGATTACCCCCCTATATATATAATTTTTTAAATTCCGGCTGACTACTTTCTCCTTTCAGGAATTTTAAAAACATTTTAAAAAGCAAAGTAAAAGTACCTGGCAGGCACTTCCCCAACAGTGAGGAAGAATAATATATCATCATCATCAGACAATTCTTCAATTCCATATCTTTCTTTCGGGAAGAACACATATCGTGGAATATTCCATCGATCTTGCCAGACTAGTTTTTCAAAACATCTGTCATTCTTGGGAAAATTCTGTCCCACGGTCAAATGTGAAGCTATATATGCAACTCTATAAGCTACCGCGTTTCCTTGAGGGAATTGAAAAGATATTTCATATTCATCAAATTTTAGCAACATATCAAAAATTTTGCTGCATAACAATAATTTTTATATCAATATAATTGGAAACTGGAATCTAAATTTAAAGAATAAATTCAAACTTTATACTAAAAGCTTACTGATAAAGTTCCATGTATTCCCCTGTTGCATAAGGCTTACCACGACGTAGCACCTTGACCATTTCTTTATGGTCAAACTCCAATATTATTCTCTTTGCTCTCGATCTCCTTTGGAGAATTTCATTTATCCCATGATGCAGTCCAAGTAACAATACTTCATCTCTAGATGTCGCATCAGGAAAAGGCTTATGGAAAATTCCAAAAATACTTCCACTACAATCTCTCAATACGTCTCCACAAAATGCTTCTTTGGTCCCACCAAGTTTTTCCTTAAAAATCCCAGAAACGTTTAACTTGAACCACCCTTCGCGTGGCAACTCCCAAAAACACATGAATACTGGGCGTTTTAGTAAAGGCTCCGGACAACTCTCCAAAACATAAATTTGCTGGTTATACATGTAATTATAAATCGTTTCCTCGGACTTTTTAGGAATCCGGTCGAACCACCAAATGAAGTCTTCTATGGAGATGTATCTAAATTTGGAACCCTGAGCTACATACCAATCAATGTTACCCTTTCTGAACAACCCAAAATTTTCTAACATTATGCTGTGCTTCTGTTCAAAAAAACGACGTCGATCCGCCTGTTGTTTAATGATCCAACAATAAATTTGTTAAAAGAATAACCTGAATTATATAAGAATTAAAAATTATAAAGATATTGAACTTACAGCATATATGTTGATGTTTGGAAATTCTCCTTCTGCATGCACCATAGGATGAAGCATTCCGAAGAAGTCGGCAAAAATATAACAACAAATAGATAAATATTTTAATCACATGAAGCCACAATCTTTCTTGATTGTTTTTAAGTATCAGTTACAACAATAGAAATGATAATAAAAATCCCTAGAAGAGGGAAGCTATAGCTAAACACAACGCAAAAATTCAAACAGAATTACATCTTTGAAACTATTTCAAGCTCTGAACAATATGCTTTCATTACGGACTTTTTTCTTCATTTTAAAACTAGCAACGACAGGCATGTAATTGATGTTCGGGAATCATAGCAATAAAAGATTGCAATTTGACCTTTGCAACTGGGCATTATTAGCACTCTAAAGTATGGATGAAAAGTAATGTAATCCTTTTCATTGATAGATGGTGTAATGTTACTTATAAAGACTGAGCATTAGCACTAGAAGATATCTTCAACAATAGAGGGTTACATTATATTCTCTGTGCGATAGAGAGGGCAAGGATAATCGTCGACCTATCTTCAGTGTGATTTTGGGTCCGTGACAAGTTGGTATGGAGAGGAGAAGCTTTTGGAAGTAGCAAGACGACCACGCATTCTCACCGACCGAGGTTTCGAGGCTGTTGTCATCGGACAGAGGGCACACGTTCAAAGTGGATGATGGAAGTGTCGAGAGAAGGAAAGAGACTTTGCGACCCTGCCTAGTTGCTCGTTTCGACAGAGAAGTGGAAAGCCTAGAGAAGACAGAAGGCTGGGCTACAAAGGCAAGGAAGGTGATGAGTGGGGTGGGTGGGTCACATGGGTGACTCTACTCCTGGAATAAATACATCTATTCAGGCTATCTTCTCACAATGAGGCAAATAGGGTCTTGAAAGAGGGAGGACATGACTGGGGAGAGGCTTTTTTAAATACAGTACAAAGTCGGATGCTCTAGCATTCTGAGGAAGAGCAAGGAGCGACGAATTCTATTGTAAGGTCTGCAACTCCATCTATGGTGTCATCCACGGTTCCAATTGGGGATGTGTGGTGATTTTAAGGGCATAAAAGCTAATGACATGGTAGATAGGGAAAAAATAATCATTTCAGGCATGGAATCGGGTAGCTGTGTCGTAAGAACCATGTCAGAACTGACTGAGATGGTAGCATTACTCAGAGATCAAGATGATGAGAAGTTCTTAACTCAAAAGAAGGATTAGTGGCCATAGAAGGACGAAGCCCAGTGTGCGACAAAAGTACGCTGGAAAGTGAAGTCTAAGAAGTATACGAAAGTGGGACCAGAAAGGTAGGGACAAGGCTCTTTGCAAGCGCCTGGCATAGCGAATTCTATTTGGATTGTAGAGACATATATTCTTTGCTTATCTGAAATTATATTTATGCTTTATACAATTGGTGAATGCAATGTATTAAGGTTCAATTCATTATGAAATTGATATTGTCCACTTGATTACACTAGAGATTTATACATATGTGATGGCGTTTAATACAAGAATATGTATCACAACCATAAATGGTTCATAGTAGGTAATTACGGATGGACTCAAATTAACTAAGATATGAACCGGATTCGCGATAAGTTGAGATATATTGTGATAGTCGTTGTTTACAATTACTCTCCACCATTGTCATATCATTTGACTTTCAAGCATGATATAAGTATAGACTATTTTATTAATTAATAATTACTTTAATTTGTTCAACGGAACGTATGACCTATGTTACCGAACTTGGATACGGGTGTCGGACACGGGTGCGCGTCTAGGAAACAGATTCGGCAATCTCTCAATTTACAGGATACGGGGACTCAGCTAAAAAGTGTCCAATATTTCGACACGGGATCGTGGACACTTTGAAAAAGAAAAAAAATTATGAGGTTTTTTTTTATGGTTGAGACATTAATTTTCCAATAATAAAATATAGATATATATAAGTTGTATTCTTTTATAAGGAAATTTATTTTTCTAGTGTGGTTGTTTACTAGTTTGCAAAGTCAAAGTATTACTATTAAAAAGGAAGACCAAACAAGGCTCAATAATACTCCTATATATATATATATATATATATATATGCACACACCCACACCTACTGATCAAATTAAAGCTATTTCAAGCACTATTATTATACTGGTGCTTCGTTAGGTAGTACACATTTTTATTCGGTTGTAAAAAACGTAAAGTGACAGCTGTAAATCATTATACAAGAGTAGGTAGTTGTTTACAGCTGTCAATTTTTAAAACAAAACCCAGATGTCTCATCAAGGCACGGTATTAAAAGTATAGTCAAAGGTCAAACATAGTGTGAAACCACGCGCGGTGTAGCACACAAAATTGTGCAAGACAACGCATATTTGGAAACAAAAAAATCATCTTCTTTGTAACCCTAATTTCAACTCAGACAGCCATTTCCGCCATTTTTTAAACAGGAAGCTTTCAAACACCACGATTGGCTGCTGATTTAACAAATAAAATATGAAAAAAAAATTCTTTATCCTTTAGGAGCATCAACCAAGACATCATTTGGTGTGTTTTCCTAATCATTCACAAGCATCAGCAGCGTCCGATGGAAAAATAAAGGATCCAACTCCTATCCCATGTCCCTGTCCTGTCTTGACGACACGAACACCACCGGCAAGTCCAGGTAACACTGCCTATGATCAGCTCTTTGGGTAATTGGTTAATTAATAGTTAGAGGGTCATATTCTCAATATTTGCATCGGTGCTACTAGTATTTATTTTGTATTGATTATGGTTAACAAAGTAAAATTTGGAAGCCTCCGTGTACCTTTTTTTTTAATTGTGATCGAACTCGAAGTAATCAATAAACCAAAATAAATATATTAATTAAGACATATAAAATATATATTAATTAAGTGGTCCAATTGACGGCTTTACTTATTCGATAAGCTATGTTACACGGACTCTTCAAAAGTAGGTGAAGTACCAACGTCGGACACACATTACACGGACATGGGTATAGGATATGTGTCCAACACTTTTTGTCGGACAAGAAACTAAAAAGTATATCATATATTTCAATTTCAATTTCATTATATTACCGTTTCAAAATGAGTAAAACGCCTATATTAGACACTATGCTATGTATAGACATTATTTTAGTCTAGAAATAGAAAAAAAAAAATTTAAATAATATGAATTTTTAGCAGTGTCCTTTTATTTAAGATTAGAAATGTCCAAAACTTGGATACGTACTTGCACCCGACACATGTACCTGAGTCCATGTAACATAGCCGATAGTTAATCTTGCACAGAGGGGTCAAGTTGCAACATTGACTTAGTGCTTATTTACTATCCGATTGGAGTGCAATTAATTTCTTTGAGTGGAGTAAAAATTAATTTATCAATTAATTGAATTGGGTCCATGGTAGTGGCCAGGTCAATTATTAATTCATTAAAGCCAAAAGTTTGTAAGCCCAAGGGATTCTCACCTATAGCCCATAATTGATGTGAAGGCCCATGAGATTGGAGATAGCACTTTTCCTTGTAGAGATTGAGAATTACTAATTCCAAGAAAAGCATATATATACTATAAGGCAATGTAATGAGAATAAGCCTTTTGTGCACTATTAGTGTGATATATGGATATACACTCTCTCTACATTAGGGTTTGGTGTTCTCATCTCTTAGAGGTTCCCACAAGTTTAGAGCTTCCAAGTTCATCAATGGAGGTCATATGGGTGATTCCTAAAGGCAAGAGTACCAAATTGAAGATGGTGGTCCAAGGAAGAAGGAGCTAAAGAGATCTTCACAAGGGAGAACATTCCCTTTGTGGATTGACCGCAATCTCAAGTTTTGATGTGAATATTCTAACTCTTACATGAATCTTCATATTTTGGCTTGATAATGGCCTCTACATATCAAGGTCATGGAATGAAAAGTCCCTCTTTAGATTTTTGAAAATCTCCATTTCCCTAACAGGGGTGCAGGCTCTTTTGAGGAATGAATTAGCTTTTGCTCGTGAGCGATGGAATTTTCTGTGGTGTGCTTGGTGGTAACTTTAATGTGGTTAGATTCCTTTTCAGAGATCAACTAAGGGGAGGTGGACCTTAACTATGGAATTTTCCAAGTTTATCCACACAATCGTTTTTAGATCTTCATTAAAGGGCTCCTCAAAGTTTTGCTTATCAAAGTTTTGCTTTTGCTTTTCCTCTTATTAATTTCCGCCTTCAAGGGAGGTCTACATTTGGACCTAACAGTCTCTACCAGTTTTTTGGAGCATTTTGTTCTCTAACATGATACCGGAGCTTTAATATGAAAGGTGTTAGGTTTATTTCTCTCCTACGTACTTAATAAAACACACCATATAACAAACCCACTCGGGGAAACTCCATAGATCTAACGGAAGAAAGCTCGCCGTAGTAGAGATGCGGTCGGAGTCTACTACTCTGATCAATCACCGGAGTCATAGATTCCGGTGAAATCCTCTGCTACGCTTTTTTTCTTGTTTTTCTTTCTCTGTTGGATCTGGTTTGGCTGTGTTTCTTCGCAAGTTCCAAAAGAGAGATGATTCTTTGAACCAAATGAAGTTGTCTTTTTTGGAGGTTGCAAGCCTCCCTCAACTGGATCTGAAAGGTAAGGTGGAGGTGGAGCGTGTGCAACGCCGTCGAGGCCATGTGTTCAGGGTGGATAAGAATAGTACCTCTACTCGTGAATCCATGCTTAGATCTTGCCTTGTTGGGAGATTTGACAGAGAGGTGGGGTCTTTGGAGCAGATCGAGGAGTGGGCCTCAAAGGTTTGGCGGATTTGGAGTGGGGTTAAAATCTCGACATTGGCTGATGGTCTTCTGTTATTCAGGCTCCCATCGATTATGGAGGCACAAAGGGTTTTGGATAAGGGGAAGAAATTTTGGGGAGAGGCACAGTTGTTCATCGATCATTGAACCTACAGAGTTGGATGCTCCGGGTTGAGAAAGAAGTTTAATCTTGGGCGTATCATCGTGTATGGCCTCCCTCTTCACCTTTGGTGCCAGAAGCTTTTTGTTGTTGTTGAGG